CTCTGAAATCAATAAAATATAAAATTATTTACTTTTTTTTTTTTAGAATCAAAAAATGTTGCCCTGCCAGCGTGCTCAGTGGGTGGGCATAGTCTCGTGTACCAAAAGATTGCCAGTTGGATTCCTGATCAGGGCACATGCCTAGGTTGCGGCTCAATCCCTGGGAGGGGGTTTGCAAGAGGCAGCCGATTGATGTTTAGCTCTCACATTGATATCTATCTCTCTCTATCTATCTATCTATCTATCTATCTATCTATCTATCTATTTATCTCTTTCTCTCTCTCTCTCCCTTCTCTCTCTTTAAAAGTCAATAAAAATATTTAGATAAATAACAATGTTGATTAAATAATTGTTAAATGGAATATAGGAAATTCATACATTATTTCATTAAGGAGCAAGAGAACATAATAGTTATTTCAAATGAAAATTATATTAAATTATCCTTCCTTTAAAAATGGGAATTCTAGTTTAATTAATTTAGGTATGTTACTGTAGAATAGCGATTTTCAACTGGTGTGCCACAAGAATTTTTATAACATACAATACCTGACTATCTATTCAGGGCACTGACCTCTCTTCCCTTAGACTGTCAAATAAAAAAAATGACTACAGCCAGCACAACAATAGCCATCTGGTGTGAATGAATCAAAATTATAATCATTTTTTTGTCAGAATAACAAAAATGTAACATATTTTTTGGTGTGCTGCAGAATTTTAGTAGTTTATGTGTGCCACGAGATGAAAAAGGTTGAAAATTGCTGCTGTAGAGAATCCAAATTTTAAGATGCATACTTATTGAAAAAAATAACAAAAAAATTAACACACTTTTCAATTTTGATTTTTTTTCTACAAGCACCAAGCTTTGTAATACTTTTAGCGAAAAAAAAAAAAATAAAGACTCTCATATACCTACAAAAAAAAAAAAAAAAAAAAGTTTGTAAGAGTCCCAAAATAACCAAATGCTTTTCTCATTACATGTATAGTGACTGACATGCAAACTAAAAGCTAGACATTAGCTAATATAAATGTAGTCTAGAGACTAACATTTTAACTTATATTGCTTTCTAGATAAAGAAAGGATGGTAGGGAGAAGAAAATTAACCAGTTGGATTCCTGATCAGGGCACATGATATTTTTCTACTGTGAAAAAATTGTGCTATGAATTATACTTGTCAATTCCTTTATATACACATGCAAGCATATATGATTATGATACTATCATCTTTTAAATTTAGCCCTTGGGAAAGGTTTCTCTTCAATTAAATTCTCCACAAAGTAGGTAAAAATGGCAAAGATGTATTAAAATTAAGTCTATTGCCATGGATCCCAGGCAAATGAAAAGTCAATTAGAAAGACTAGGAAACAGATATTTTGATGTTTTAACTTTTTCCCTACAGGCTAACAAATAATATCTTCCAATGATTTTTCTTACTAAAAAACTACCTTACTAATTATAATTTGGTCCAATTATAAGTTCCCACACATAAGAAAATAGATGATAAGCTCTTTTAAAGTCATCAAACCAGATTTCAATTATGTTCTATAGGGCCACTTCACTCGAATTGTTTTGGAGACAAAGGATATTAGAGAATTCCTACATTTATTTAATACAGTAAAAAGTATTCTCTAAAACTGCTACCTTGAAAATATAATCCAGATCTAAAGAGGGAAGGAAAAAAAATCTGACATTATTACCTCATTTTTACTGTACTTTTAACAAGGTACACCATAGAGGGATTTTTCTGTTTGTTTTTAAGTTAACAATTTAGCACTAAGACATATTAAACTTCATCATAAAAGAAAATCAGTTGGAAATGCATCTCCATATTGAAAAAAATAATAAAAAATAGCAAATATACATACTCCTTTTGGAAAGCCATACAGAGTGGAGAACTAAATCCAAAGACGAGGCACATCTGGGCATCAGGGCTATAGCCATGCTGGAGTAGCATTTCTAGGCAGTCTTCATGCCCTCCAAACACTGCCGAGTAAACAGGGCTCACTTTGTCTGGACCAGTGTCACAGACCCGGTTAGTAAGTGGTATGAGCAAGTCCAAGATTCTGCAAATACATGAATATGGAAGCATTTAATATTTTTACATGCACATAAATATAGGTAACATTTCTACAGCACACGTAGACCGTCACGTGTCTATCATGCCCTCGCACAAGATGGCTGCCCCCATGTGGTCACAAGACGGCCACCACAAGATGGCCGGCAGGGGAGGGCAGTTGTGGGTGATCAGGCCAGCAGGGGAGGGCAGTTACAGGAGACCAGGCCAGCAGGGGAGGGCAGTTGGGGGGGACCAGGCCTGCAGGGGAGGGCAGTTGGGGATGACCAGACCAACAGGGGAGGGCAGTTGGGGGGGACCAGGCCTGCAGGGGAGGGCAGTTGGGGATGACCAGACCGGCAGGGGAGGACAGTTGGGGGCAATCGGGCCAGCAGGGGAGCAGTTAGGCGTTGATCAGGCTGTCAGAGGAGTGGTTAGGAGGTAATCAGGCTGGCAGGCAGAAGTGGTTAGGAGCAATCAGGCAGGCAGGCAGGTGAGCGGTTGGGAGCCAGCAGTCCTGGATTGTGAGAGGGATGTTCAACTACCAGTTGAACATCCCCCGAGGGGTCCCAGATTGGAGAGGGTGCAGGCTGGGTTGAGGGACAGCCCCCACCCCAGTGCATGAATTTCATGCACCAGGCCTCTAGTTATTTAATAAAAGTCTGTCTTCAGTATAGCTTCCACCTATACTAAGTTATTACAGGCTACATACTCCAGAATGTTATACTTATTATTGTTACTTAATATAAAGGTCTTTAAATAGATCTGAAAGAGAATTCAATAATCTATATGTATAAAGGGCTAATATGCAAAGTGTCCCAGGAGACGGGGAGTTCAATAGCTCGCTATGATGTGCTCTGACCACCAAGGGGTGGCGCGGAACAAAGGAAGGCCCTGGCCGGCAGCCGGAGGCCCCAGTCATCCCTGATCTCTAGCCAGGCCTAGGGACCCTACCCGTGCACAAATTTCATGCATCGGACCTCTAGTGTTCCTATAAGTAAGTAGGTAACAGGTTGTCCTTTCTTACTTTTCATGAATTTCTTACCTTACTACCATGGCCCTACTTGCTAAAATTCAAATTTTATGTTAGACTAGAGGCCTAGTGCACAAATTAGTGCACGAGTGGGGTCCCCCGGCGTGGCGTGTGGGGATTGGGCCGAAACCGGCAGTCAAACGCCACCTGCCGCTCCTGCCTGCTGCTCCCACTCATCCTGGCCCCGCTGCACATGCCGCAGGCTCGTGCCCAATCAGTCCCAATCAAGAGAGGCTCATGCCCCCAAAGTGGCGCTAGCCAGCCGTGAGCCCTATGTCCCAAGGGGGGTCGAGGGGGCCTAGACGCAACTGCCCTCCGGGCGGGCAGTGGGACACCCTTGCCAGCCTGGAATCCAGATCCGTCCTGCTGACATTCATGCCAGTTGTCAGGAACCACCTGGTGGCTGCTTTTATATTGTTTCTTCCTTGCAGAGTGTCTGGGGAGGGGAAGCGGCCACCAGCCTCCTGGAAGAGGCCAACTTCCAGGAGGCTGGCGGTCCGTCAGTGCCTGGCCCGTTCTCCGGAGATTGGACCTGCAGGACTACTGAGGGAGTGAGTGGCTGCCGCCAGGCTGGTGGGCCGCCAGGACGGGTCAGTCAGCTGAGCGGCACTCCCGCTGTGGGAGCGCACTGACCACCAGGGAGAAGCTCCTGCGTTGAGTGTCTGCCCCCTGGTGGTCAGTGTGCATCATAGAGACCAGTTGACCAGTCGTTCGGTCATTCAGTTGTTCAGTCATTCGGTCACTCGGGCTTTTTATATATATAGATATTTTATGATCTAATCAATTATTTCAAACTTAATTATAGCAAATATAAACTTGTATCAAGACATCTTTTCCTTCTTAAAGTACAAACTAAAGTTTTATTTTTCTATTTAATAAGAATTTGTTTAAATGGCAAGTAACATGAAATGAATAGTATTTTCATCAGGATGTTCTGCTAAAACATCCTTTTCTCTGAAAAAGAATATGAGCTCTTTAAATACTGAGGCAGATTTATAAAGAAAATGGTTGATAAGCAGAGAATAAAGGAAATCATTAAAACAGAAGTTTTTAGATTGCTGTAAACTTACCTCCAGCAGTCAACTGGAGATAAAGAACTAGTCTACTTTTCTAAATTAAAAATGAAACTAGAAATCATGAAAGCCAGTAAATCCTCTCTCTTTCTGGGGAAAGAAAGTCAGGGCTATGCCAAAGTGCATTCTTTCTTTCTGACACTTTTCCTTATGTAAGGTAGGCCCAAGATGATAATAGTATTGAAGAACTTACTACATCATAGAACTTACCTTACAGGTATTCTATGGAGGAAATCATCAGTGACAAATAGAATTCTCAAATTTGAGAATAAATGAGGACAAATTCCCAAGAGAGTTTTGGTATCAACTTAAAGCTCAGAATATAATTGTACCTAAGATGTATGTTTAAATAAACAATCAAGAATTAAGAAAAATACCAAATTTTAAAAACCTAAATATTGTGTTAAAATGTTGAAATGTTTTAAACTTAATGTGTTTAATTTTTTTAAATGGGTTGGAAAAACACTCTTAGAGGAGGCACAAACATGCCTACAAATATCTTTAAGGAAATGGTAAAATACCATGCCACCTAGTGGCATAATAACCAAATTGCACAATATGTTCTATGCAAACAAACTGACAATTTCACTATTGTTTTTTAAATTAAATAATACTAACAATAGCTATGAAGTTATACTTGTAGAATTATGACTCTAAAGACTTTAAGCATATATTTTAAAAATCCATTCAGTGCCAATTTATATTTAGCTGCTGGCTGTATAACCAGATTATTAGCTTCCAAGATTCCTGGAACCCCAATTTCAGAGAGTTCCAACCATATTTTAGTCTCTCTCCCGAAAATACCCCATATTTCATGAGAACTTCTGGTTACCAAGAAGAGTAATATAAGTAGGAAAAAGTACTGGTTTGGACCTGAGATTAGATAAACAGAAGTCTAATCAAAGGGTTCAAGATGGGAGAACTGTCATGAACAAACAAAAGAACTACTGGACTCCAAGAGAGGTCACAAACTCAAAAGCTTTCTGGGATCCAGGAGATAAGCTAAGTACATTGAATAAAGCTATCAGATAGTCAACTAAAGATGCCTTGGATAAAACTAAAGAAGAGCAGAAGAGTATGGGCTTGCGAAATCAAGGGGAAGACATGACACCCTGAGAAAGCTGCTGGGGTCGCCCCGTTTCCAGCCACTGTGCCTGCCTTACACTAGGAAAGTCCATGATTAAGAGGAATTGGGGATGGCATGGGGATCAGATGTGGGGGGTGGACATAGTCAATTAGCAGTTTGGTAGAGAAGAGAATAGCAAGGATTTTGTCTGGAGGTAATAGGTCTGGCCCAGAAGACACATTCCTTATTACCTTCTAATCATGAGATCATTTGTATTTTCCATTTTTAACACTTACTCTGTATGGCCCATTTGTGCAGCTGCATGAATAGGTAACTGCCAACTGTCTTCGTTACAGTAGAGATTAGGATCTGCCCCACTGGACAGCAAAAGCTCCACACATTCTGTGTGGCCCTCTTGAGCAGCAATGAATAAGGGGGTAGCTTTATCCAAGGCTTGACAATTGACATTTGCACCTAATACAAAATAAAACATTTAACAGATGATCCTCATTTATGGGGTAAAAAAGAACATAATAAACATAAATTTCAAAGCAGCTTCCCTAAAAGGGTTTCATAGTACAGATGACCTTTGAACAAAACAGGTTTGAACTGCTCGAGTCCAATTACATGCAGATTTTTTTCCATCTTATAAACAGATGACATAATGCCACAATATCAATAAATACAATACTGTATGGGCAATGTATTTTCTCTTTTGATTTTAATAGCATTTCCTTTCTCTAGCTTAATTTATTATAAGGATACTGTATATATAATACATAAAAGAAAAAAGATGTATTAATCAACAGTTAATATTATCATTTAGGTTGTCGGCCAACAGTAGGCTATTAGTAGTAAGTTTTGAGAGAGCCAAAATTATATGCACACTTTCAACTGTGCATAGAGAGAAGTTAGAGCCCTCAATCCCCACAATGTTTAAGGATCAACGGTACAACTAGTTTCCTCCTCTCAGTGGATACTGTTTTATAAACATACTAGAGGCCTAGTGCATGAAATTCGTGTGTCCCTCATGACCGTGTGTCTCTCAGCCCAGCCTGCACCCTCTCCAATCTGGGACCCCTGTGGGATCGGGCCTAAACAAGCAGTCAGACATCCCTCTCATAATCCGGGACTGCTGGCTCCCAACTGCTCGCCTGCCTGCCTGCCTGATCACCCTCTAACCACTCCCCTTCCAGCCTGATCGACGCCTAACTCCTCCCCTGCTGGCCTGATTGCCCCTAACTGCCCTCCCCTGCCAGCCTGGTCACCCCTAACTGTCCTCCCCTGCAGGCCTGGTCGCCCCTAACTGCCCTCCCGTGCCGGTTTGGTCGCCCCCAACTGCCCTCCCCTGCAGGCCTGGTCACCTGTAACTGCCCTCCCCTGCAGGCCTGGTCTCCCCCAAATGCCTTCCTCTGCCAGCCCAGTCACCCCTAACTGCCCTCCCCTGCAAGCCTGATCACCCCCAACTGCCCTCTCCTGCAGTCCTGCTCACCCACACCTGCCCTCCCCTGCTGGCCATCTTGTGGCAGCCATCTTTGACCACATGGGGGCGGCCATCTTGTGTGTTGGAGTGATGGTCAATTTGCATATTACCTCTTTATTATATAGGATTCATTTACCTAACTTGTTAGTAATCATGTAAATTGTTTTTGCTTTTATTTTGGCAAGGAAACAAGTTATTAATAGTTTAGAATTCATTTTTACATTAAAACAAAATTCTTAGCAAAGGATTCATTTCATCCCAATTCCTCCTCCAACAAGCACTCTGTGGTTCCAATAAATAATCATTTAAAAAGGTAAAAGGCAAACCATCAAATATGGATAACATTTCTGATAATTGCTGAAAAAGATAAGAGAAAAACCTAAATTATGAGCCTTTGTAGATGTCACTAATCAATTCAGGCTAAGCTTTATTTTTAAAAAAAATTGCCCAGCCAGTGTGGCTTAATGTTGATTACCAACCCATGAACCATGAGGTCACAGTTCATTTCCTAGTCAGGGAACATGCCCAGGTTTCGGGCTTGATTCCCAGTAGGAGGTGTGCAGGAGGTAGCTCATCAATGATTTTCTCTCATCATTGTTGTTTCTATATCTCTCTCCCTCTCCCTTCTTCTCTCTGAAATCAATAAAAACATATTTTTCTTAAAAAATTCCAGTAGAATTTAAGGCTATGCCTTAAAACTAATATTGACTATTATATTCTCTTTCTTCATGACCAATGCATGTCAGAGCCTACAATAAAAAGATCTTTTTAAATGATTTTCTAAGCTGATTTTTTGAAAATATACTTTATTGATTTTTTACAGAGACGAAGGGAGGGGGATAGAGAGGTAGAAACATCGATGAGAGAGAAACATCGATCAGCTGCCTCCTGCACACCCCCTACTGGGGATGTGCCCGCAACCAAGGTACATGCCCTTGACTGGAATCGAACCTGGGACCCTTCAGTCCACAGGCCAACGCTCTATCCACTGAGCCAAACCCGTCAGGGCCTGAGCTGATTTTTAAAAAGCATAAATCTAATAGATTATTTAGATACCAGTATATAAAGATATGAAGTTGAAAGTGCTCTCAATATTTGTAGAGGTTTTGAAAATAGCCACTTCCCCAAACTTTTCTCATTATTGACAATTAACATGTTAAATTTGCTACCTATGATATTATTACATAATAGTGAGAATTTTTAAATTTCTGAAATGTATCTCAGTGGGAAAACCATTATTATCAAAGGGAAAAGAACTATTTTTTATCCATAAATACACCTTTAATAAACTAAGGCCATGAGGTAGGTAAAAACTATGCAAAACATACATGAATTTATGAAACCTTCAGAAATTTCCACTGAACATTCAACATGTGTAGATAAGTAGAATCTTAATACAAGGTGATGCTAAACCTACTGTCAGCCTCAGAAAGCAGTGGACACCATTACTGAGAAAAGACTAAGTCAAGAAAGAAGCCTACTTAACTTTCTTTTTTAAGCAATGTTTCGTTTTGATTGACAATTTCAAAGTGTCAGGAAAAATAAGGAACCAGTCCCTGTGAGATTATAGGTAGAAAACTTAGAAAAAATGGCCCACAATTCACTAAAAGAAAAGTCATATTAAGGGGTTAGAAACATAAATAGTTATATTATAAACATACTTACATACCCTTTCAACTTGCTGTTCATAACTACTCAAAGAGAAGAAAAAAAGAACAAAGCAAAACAATAGGTGCTTAGCAACCTAGGAGACAGGCTTGGCATAAGGAAAATCATTAAGGTGCAGTTTAACCTATTTTATTCTAAATCTTAGTTATACACTAATAATGGAATTTATGGGACTGGGAGCCATAAAATGAGCAGGACAGTCCTCAGAAAGAACATGTAGAAGAAGAAGGAAAATGAGAGTCAGAAGGGCTGGGTCCAAGTCCTAATTCTGCCAAGAAATGCTTTCTAGATCTTGGGCAAGACACTTACACACTCAGGGCCTGGAATTCTTAATCTAAAAACACATATTTACATAAATGATTAGGGCAGGGGGTGGAGAGAACTCATGGACATGGACAACAGTGTGGTGATGGTGGGGTGGGGTGGAGTGGGGTGAGTGGAGGTGGAAGAGGGCATAGAGGGGATAAATGGTGATAGAAAAAAAATTTAAAAAATGATTTTGGAGATTCCCTTCAACTATAAGATTTATAGATTCATATCTGTAACAGATATCTTAATTTGGCACTAAATGAATATTTATTTTGTTTCCTACTTCAACTTGAGTATTTGAAGATTTGTAAAGAGAAAATACAAATAAGAAAACACACAGTTAAAATTCATGTCTAAATAAGCTTTGTGCCCTAGCCAGTTTTGCTCAGTGGACAGAGCATCTGCTTGTGGACTGATGGGTCCTGGTTTCAATTCCAGTTGAGGGCACATGCCCGGGTTGCAGGCTCGATCCCCAGTAGGGGGTGTGCAGGAGGCGGCCGATCAATGATTCTCTCTCATCATTGATGTTTCTATCTCTCTCTTCCTCTCTCTTTTTCTCTGAAAAATAAAAATAAAAATGAATAAAAAATAAAAATAAATAAGCTTTTTTTTGTATATTTGGAGGTAATTTATTAAGCGCCAAGGTATTACAGGAGGTATATGAAAAGCACAAGGTATTTTTAACATTTATATTTAATGTAATTTTTTTAAAACTTTTTAATTTGCCTGATGGCGAAACTGGTGTATTTCCCTTGTGCTCTAACTATGGTGCTTTGTCAGGTTAGCACGCTTGAGGGCATAAGTGGTATTTGGAGAAATGTAAAAGCCATACATAACAAATGTTTCTGGTCACAGAAGTGTCACACAGAGTAAGAATGCCACCCCAACTCCATCTTCTCTGACAATGCTGAATGTATAATGGTTGTCAAGGAGAAACCTTCAGCAGGTTTATGTTGCTATTAACACAATAAAGTATAAACGTACATAGAAATAAACCCATTTAAATAATCATACAATTGATCAAAACATACAACTCAAAAGCTTAATATACAAAATAGCTATATAATAAATTAATATTAATATAGTCTTTAGGAAGTTGTAACTGCTCAGGTCCCTATAAGAAAGGACAGCCCCATGATTCAGCTTCTAATAAACCTGCTTCAGTGATAGATCATTATGTTCCTCCTCAGATAAATTAGAAACTGTACATTGCATTATGTTAGTAATAGACACTAAGTAATCAGGCTTATAAATCAACTTGTAGCCCTGGCCAGTGTTTCTCAGTGGTTGGAGCATCGGACATGCGCTGAAGGGTCTCGGGTTCAATTCCCAGTCAAGGGCATGTACCCAGTTCCAGGTTCGATCCCAGCTTCAATGGGGGCACATGCGGGAGGCAACCAATTGATGTGTCTCTCCATACATCAATGTTTCTCCCTCTCCCCACCCCCATTCTCTCTTTTTAAAAAAAAATGGAAAAAAAATATCCTTGGGTGAGGATTAACAAAAATAAAAATAAATAAATAAATAAATAAATAAATAAATAAACAAATAAACAAACTTGTATGTACTCTTATTTACCACTAACATAAAACCATAAATTTCACAACCTGATTTGCATCTGGTCAAGAATTCTTCCTCCTAGGAAGACATACTATTAAAACTCGTGATCTTTAAAGTGCAAAGGCTAATGGATTAATCTTACCTGATGAAATAAGTATGCTCAAACTTCCTAGCTTGCCATACTGAGCAGCCACAAATAAAGGCGTGATTCCAAAGTCATCCTGGCATTCCTTGCTTGCTCCTCTTTTAAGAAGCAATTTTATGATCTCAGTATTTTCCTAAAGCAAAGATTCATATTTTAAATAAGAGAAAACAAAGAAAATAGAAGGTATCTCTTTTCTTATTGTTGTGTTTTGTTCAGTTTGTTTTTTATCCTCTATAAAGGAAAACCTTTTTTTAGAAAGTTGGATGGGAAGGAAGTCTTAAACTATCAGATTATTCTATACCTTCACAAACCCATTAAACATTAATAGATGAAACACTGATCTCTAGGAATTATAATCCCTATAAAATCCTGCAAAAATAGCTTGCTAGTCCAAACACTAAGGAGCTATCGTAGTTTCTAAATACATTGCTATACATAGAATGTCATTGCTCCTTATCAATTTATATCCCAAGTGTTCTGATGGTCTCTTAACTATGCTATCAATATTTGAAACCTTAGATAATCCCTGTCACCCAAAGCTGCTGATACTACTAGAGCAGTTGGTTTATTCAGAATGATCATTAGCATTTAGACTGCCTTTTCTGTACTGCACTAACCATCATAAATCACAGACAAGTGGGAAGTAAAAATTGTATAGAACTGTCATTTTAAAAGGGTAAAACATACAATTTACATGAAGATGAAATAATAAATTCAGAAGTTACCTGAAAAGTAGCCTGGTGCAGGGCATTCCATCCACACATAGAATGGGATCCATTAACATTTGCTCCGTATCGAAGCAACAGCCTTAACACATCCATCCGTCCATTTTCAACAGCTGCAATATAGCAGTCAAAAAAAATCACTGTCAGTAGAAAGTCATGTTTGTAGGGCTGGACACTTTGGTGATATTCTCATTATTTATTCACCTCAAAACTCACAATGCTGTGACCATTCCTATCAACAAATCAAAACACATAATCCCTATGCAATGCCAAAACATTTATCACAATTGTCTTAGGCCAAACCCATTAATATATACATACTTTCTGTGCACATACGAATTATTTCCAATTATATTTTAAAAGATAGAGTAAATGGAAGCAAGAAGCAAACATTTATTCTGTCTAATAATGAAGACAATATGTTTCCATTTTGTTAAAATGCTATTGAGGAGAGAATGGGATGAATAGGTCAGGAGATATAGTCTCACAAGGACTGAAAGATTTCCTATCATTACCATTTGATCACAAATGACAAAAGTTAATGACAGTTGAAGGAGCAATAGTGCAAGTTCTGCATCTTAGATATTTTTGACATAAACAGCAATTATATTGTTAAAATTGAAAATACAGAAAAACTTTGCTTATTTGAACTAAAAGGGGACTCTAGATAAACTGAAGAGTGTTGCTAAAGAACTGCACTTTACTCTAGGAACTGAAACTAATGACTCCCACTTTGGAAAACAGTATGAAGGTTCCTCCAGAAATTAAGAATAGAGCTACGATAAGACCCAGCAATCCTCTTCCTGGGATCTATCTGAAAATTTTGAAAATGTTTATTCGTAAGGATATATAAACTCCTATGTTCATTGCAGCATTATGCACAGTAGCCAAGACATAGAAACAACCTAAGTATCTTTCGATGAATGATTAAAGAGGATGTGGTTCATACACACAACAGAATACTACTCAGCCAATAAGAAAAGATGAAATACTGCCATGTGTAACAACATGGATGGATCTTGAGGCAGTATCATGCTAAGCAAAATAAATAAGATGGAAAAGGACAAGAACCATGTGATTTCACTCATATGTAGGATATAAAACGGAAAGCAACACACACAGATAGTCTACAGATGGGTAGTTACCAGAGGGGGCAGGATAAAGAGTTTAAGGGGCAAAATTTATGGTGATGGAGGGAGACTAGACTTTGAGTGGTGAGCACATAATGTGATATCCAGATGATGTATTATTATTGAATTGTACATTTGAAACTATGCAATGTTACTAATCAATGTCACCCCAATACACTTAATTTTAAAAATAAATTAAAAAATAATAATGGCTCCCAAGTTGCTGGTAAAGTAGATCCTTTGAAGGAATAGTGTGCATGCCTCTAAATACCTAAAAATCATGTGCCCTTTTACTAGTTGCAGGAAATTGTTCTACTTTATTTTACATATATCTAATTTACCATTATTACAAGATATGTGTAGTCTAATATCATGTACATGTAACAGTTTATAAATCCTACCTAGTGAGAGTGAATATAGGTGGAATGCTATTTAGGTTGACAGAACAAACAAGTGGGGCCAAACTTTCCAGAATGCTACCTACCACAAAACTTTCTGCTATGAAGGTGGCAGTACTCTGGAGGAGTTAATGAAAGAAAAAAAAAAAGTCAGAAGAGAGCTATATAGTGCTTAATAAAATGTTACACACATAACCATACACCATTAAGTAAATGAAGTATATTGTAAATGTTATAGGTATGAATGAGGCTATTACAATGACTTGTTAGAATTATAAGTTTGGATAAATATCAGCAGCTATAAAAAGACAGAGGAGAGATGTGTATAAAGTTTGACTTCATGTGCTTGGTAACAGGGAAAAGATTTTTATTTTACTTGAAGCATATAGTTTTTCTGTATCTTCTACTGCAGTCGGAGGCAAGAATCAACAATTCTCAGTTAAATATTAGAGAGGCACTAAACATTCGGATTAGGGGTCAGACTTGAAAAATGCTAATACAGATGTAACAATAGCAAAATAAAATACTTAAAAGTATAAAATAATAAATTTACTCATTATTGTTGAAGATAATAACATGCCATTGATATTCTCTTAATTTTGCATATTGAATTTATACTTATTTCCTCCATAAGAATTGTCAGAAGTTCTTTAATGAAGAATTTTCTTATCCTGGGTGGTTTCAGAAATTTAACCAAAATGGCTGAAAAAGTACCACTGCAGAAGTTCAATAAATCTTATTTCTAAGTTAACATTCAAGGGCATTTTACTAGAGAAAAAAACAACAGTTTTTCAAGCTGTTATTTTTCTATAATCAATCTAAAGTCAATCTAATTTTGGATGGAGGTCATAATAGAAAAGGAAGAAAATCTGTTTCATATCCAATTCATATATCATTATCAGTGATTGCTGGCAAAAATCATTCTAAAGCCAGACCCTGAGCTGAAGATTATCAGGTTGTCAGTGGTGATATATGAAGCAGGATGAAGATAAGTTTGTTTTTCATGAGTTAGCCTGACCTTATAAAAATGAAAGTTGAAAAAATGTGTTTTGATTATTAAGTACACTATGAAGTCAGAGACAAAAGTTGTTTCACTTTAATATCATAAATACATTAAGATATCTGATTTCTGCATCTCTAGTGAAACAAACACATGAGCAGGTAAATAACATTTATAGCTCTTACTAATTATTTCAAAATAATACAAATTTAATGGTTAATAATCAAGAAATAGTGGTTTACAAAAGCGTATTTAGAGCTTGCATCTATTACCAAAGCCTCCCCTTTGGAAAAGATGGATTAAGCTTCTTTGTCCTTATATAACAATTTACCACATTGGAGGGAGAAGGAGGAACCATACCATAACAACGCACGTTATATATCAATAAAAGTTTATTTTTTAAAAAAAACAGACTCAAGCTTCCTATTTGTTGGCCATCTAATCCATTAAGAAGTATTCTCCTTGAGGAAAGAAACTGTATCTCATCCCCCTTATATGCCCAGTGCCAATCATAGACAGAAGACAGGCAATAAATAATCGTTGACTGGATGAATGGGGGTAAAAAAGTCTAAAATAAAATAAGATTTTTTAAAAATATATTTTATTGATTTTTTTACAGAGAGGAAGGGAGAGGGATAAAGAGTTAGAAACATCGATGAGAGAGAAATATCGATCAGCTGCCTCCTGCACACTCCCCACCGGGTATGTGCCCCCAACCAAGGTACATGCCCTTGACTGGAATCAAACCTGGGACCCTTGAGTCCACAGGCCGACGCTCTATCCACTGAGCCAAACCAGTTAGGGCTAAAATAAGATTGTTTTATTTAAAAAAAAAAAATTCCCTCTCCAAACTGAATAGGCTTTGGAATTACACTGCTGGATATAACAACATAATTGGTACTAAACTAGCCATCCCATCATAAACTATCGTAAGAGTGGACAAAATATATAGAGACAATGTTTTCTGGCGTTAAACAACAGGCAGAAGGTCGATCCTGAGAGAAGGAAAACACATAAGGCGAGCACTGTGATTGCCTCAGTTCTCTGCCTGGGGACATTTCTTGATAATGGTGTATGTAGTGAGCTAAAGTCTAAGCAGAGCAAGGGTAAGGTTGAGGGAAGAGTACTTCGTGCAGAGGAAATAGTCCAAGCGGAGCGCAGCAGTCCACTGAGCTAAGGAGGCAGAGATTAGAGTTTAAGTAGTTGGAATCTGTGGAGCAAAGCCCCAGAGAAAAGAGAACCATGCAGACGGGAGGCCCCCAGTGTGGAAGTTCTCCAAAAATCCTTGGCTGTGATCTGGGCTGCACATCTGTAAGGCAAGATGAAAGCCTACAAGAAAACCACTAAAGGGTTCAAAATGAAACAGAGGTAACTAGAGGTCAAACAGTGCTGAGAGACAATGGAACTCTTAGAAGTTCTATTCAGGTCTTCTGTGAAATCACAGAACCTCATTAATACCCTGGGCATCCAGCTGAGACACCCAGAAGGCAGAGCCCTAGGAGTTAGGATCACATCTCAGAGAAGGCCAACTCGAGATCTGCTCTAATTACACCTAAAAGAAGCCCTGACAAGATCAGGAAGGAGGCAGAGGCTGAGAGTTGAGTCCCACCAAGTTAAATTGGCTTGGGAAACATCTTAAGCTCTCCATGGATCTAGTCTAACAAAGCATAAAACCAAACCTAAAAACAAGTTCAAGGTGATAATGACCAGTAAATGACCTACCTACTAAGAAGGTAAAAATCAGCATTTCTCACAAGGAAGGTAACAGAACCCAAGTCTCTATAACATACTATCTACAATATCCAATATACAAGTCAGAAAGCAGGCAACAGAAACTGACCCCAAGATGGCCCATATATTGGATTGAACAGATCAACTAAAGCAGCTGTTATAAATATGCTTTAAAATGTTAAGGAAAATATGTTCAAATTTTTTATTTTTAATATATATGGTATACAGATAGGTTAACATAGAGAATCTCAATGGAGAAATGAAGTTTTTAAAAAAAAAAAACAACAAATGAAAATTCTAGAACTGAAAAAGGAAATGGTACAAAAGTCAGCGAACGTAAAACACATCGATGTAAATCATCCAATCTAAAAAACTGACAGGAAAAATGTCTGAAGGAAGAAATCAACCGTTCAGACCTATGGGATAACATCAAACAGTGCAACATGTGTGTAATCCAAAAAGGGGAAGAATAAGAATGGGACAGAAAAAATACATATTTGAAGAAATAATGGCTGGGATTTTCCAAAATTTGATTTTAAAAACAAAAACCAAAAGCTATATTGACTTACAGATCCCAGAAAATCAGCAAACTACGGTGCTTTAGAAGAAGTCATTATACTTGCTATAACTTCACAGTCTATGTAAATGAAAGTGATAACTATTGAAGTTGGGTGTTAGGTACATGGCAAATTATTACACTTTTCTCTATACTTTTGAAATTGCCCATGAAGTTAAAAAAAAAAAAAAAAAGCTGCCACCAATTTTAAAGAGAATTTCAAATGGGAATTCCAAAAACACATAGTACCAAGTATCTGAAATATTCCTGAAGTATATGTGTGAATTTTAAAAAACAT